GGACCGGTACCGGTCCGAGGCCCGGGGGGTTGGGGACCGCTGACATAGATGACCTTTGACCTGAGCAGGAAGAAGAGAACAGCCTGAGGTTTCTCTGGTTTATACTCCACCTTATCCTAGTCTGTGTGACATCAGAAACATAGCAACCGCTTAGACACCCCACTTCCTATTTTTTTTCACAGCTCTCTGAGCCACTAACAGTCACATGACTGTAACAACATGAAGTTGATGAACTTAATGAAACGAGAAACAAGTTCCTCTTCTAACACAGGCAGATGTGCAGAGACATCTTTGCTCTTGGCTCTGTGGGTTTGCACATCTGGTTTAGATGAGATTCTGCTTTCTGTCCAACATTTTTGGACCCAAATAAAAGTTCAGATTGTACTACAACACACAACACAGAAAAAAAGTACTAACCAGGTAATAGTAATTGTCACAGAACACGGAGTGTTCAGGTAACCGCAGCTCAGAACTATGTACAAGTTTTATTTAACTGAGGAATCTTTTAACAAAGCTAAGGAAACGAAAAACTAAGGCTCATGCCACGGGGGGAAACAAGGAGCGTGGAGCCCAGGAGTGCCGTAATCGGGACCGTGGGGAAACTGCAACAGAAAGGGGAGACACAGTTAACAGCATGCAGGTTCCCAAGAAATGAACAGCTAGACTTCATACAGTAAGTTGCCGAGGCTTACAGGTAGAGCAGGACCGTGGAGCTTGGACGGGAGAGGTGCCCGTGAAGGGAATCCTAGGGAGGGAGGCAGTCAGGCAGGAGGACAGGCAGGCCACAGGCTTCCACGCCGAATGCTGGTCACACTGGGAGGAGACTTACGGATTGGCGAGGAGAAGCCGTCAGAGCTGGCTGAAGTAGTCCTCTGGTGATTGCCTCAGATGAGACGCATGTGGTTTGGAGGCGGCACAGCCCGAGGGTGTGGCCACTGCAGCCTCCCACGGCTCCCTGGATGCCGAGCCACGGGCCGTGACAGCAATAATACCAAACGTGTTTTCAAACAACTTCAGTAAAACATCCTGTTAAAACTGTAACTGTGTTTAACAGGAACAAGGTCATTGAAATCATCACTTGGTGCTGCTGTCTCTTGTGTCTGAAGAGTTTGAACCAGAAGGCTGAACTCTTTTTCAGTCACATGATGTTTCTCTGTCTCTGCATCTGTTTCTCTGATTGCAGCTGCATTTGAACGAACTGGAACGTCCAATTCTCCAACACGTTAACTCTGCTGATCCTTGGTGTTTAAATAACATTTCTTTCTTTGACTCAGTCTGCTGTCACTTTGTTTTAGAGAGACAAAGAGATTTCAGATTAACTGGTGTTCCTGTTGCTCCAGCACTAAAGGACAATGCATGTCACCGCCAGAGATGGGCAGTTTCTGATTACTTTTTTCAAGTAACGAGTAAAGTAAGGGATTACTATTGCAAAAACGGTAATTAGATTACCGTTACTTTCCCATAGGAACGCTGCGTTACTGCGTTACTAAAACCGTGATTTTTTTAGCAAGAATGTCTCATGACTATGTCACAACCCGGCTCATAGGAAGCGACAAACAAATGGGAGACCACACACAGGCTTTTAAAGACTGTAAGACATATTTAATGATAATAAGGTAAAGCAACTTAAACACAAGTTAAAGGACATAACAGCCATAACTGAAACTTCCAAATAAACATAACCGTCAGAGGGAGCCAAAAAGCCAGCCTCCCTGGTTCAGTCAAGGTGTCTTTATATACACTGGGCCTGGCCCCTCAGGTGTGCTGCATCAATAATTGGGTCAGCTCCACCTACCTGCAAGAAACAGGTAAAAGAAAAAGAAAAACACAAGGCCAGCCCACTGGCCGTCACACTTCCCCCCAAAGAACAGGGTCTCACCCTGAATTGGCAAACACATTTACATTATGAATTTGCAACTAGAAGAACTAACATATTTTAAATTCATAACATATACACACACACACGCATCCTCACTTTCAACACCTTTTGTATGCTCAAAAATCATCTTCAGCTCAACTCCAACCTCAGCAACCTTGGTACCTAGGAGCAATTTAAGAGGAAGGGAAACTATACTGGAGAGGACATACTTCAAGCATATGAGGAGTGAAGCTGCTGGTTACAAAGGGGCACGGGACAAAGCATCTGCCAAGACATTATCTTTGCCCTTAATGTGCTGGATATCCAAATTGTAAGGCTGCAGAAAGAGAGCCCACCGCATGAGCCTTTGATTTGGGTTCTGCAAGGTGTTCAAGAAAGTGAGAGGGTTATGGTCAGAAAATACCTCAATAGGCCGAGCAGAATCCAAATATACCCTAAAATGCTGCAAGGCCAAGACTAATGCCAAAGCCTCCTTCTCAATGACCGAATAATTCAGCTGATGGGAGTTGAACTTCTTGGAATAGAAACTAACTGGATGTTC